GCCAGGGTGAAAAGGACTCCTGCATTTGGGGACAGGTAGAATGGGGAGGATGGGGTGATTATAAAGGGGCAGAATGAAGGGGTTTTCTAGTGATGTAACAGTTGCAAAATTTGGTTTTGGCGATAGTTATACAAATCTACTCATGTGGTAAAATTGCATTAAACTATACACATATGAATGAATGCATGTCAACATGGTGAAATCTGGGACCAGGTGCCGTGGCTCATGCCTGTAATCTCAACACTTTGGGATGCCAAGGCAGGCAGATCACCTGAGGTCCGGAGTTTGAGACCAGCCTGGCTAACATGGTGAAACCCCTTCTCTACTAAAAAAAAAAAAAAAAAAAAATACCAAAAAAAATCCCAGCTACTTCAGAGGCTGAGACAGGAGAATTGCTTGAGCACAGGAGGTGGAGGTTGCAGTGAGCCAAGATCGTCCCATTACACTCCAGACTGGGCAACAAGAGCAAGACTTTGTCTCAAAAGAAAGAAAAAGGTGAAATCCAAATAAAGCTTTTGCATTGTGCCAATGTCACTTCCCTGGCATTAAGCTCGTATGATAGTTATGTGTGAAGTCACCACTGAGGGGAACTGGGTGAAGAGAACACAGACCCTCTCCACACTATTTTTTCCTCTCCGACTTCCTGTGAAGCTATAATTATCTCAAAATAATAAGTTAAAAAAAATGCCTATGCCAAAGGCACACCAGGCCACATAGTGAAAAACACCCCTGCACAGCCATGCAATACTTACAGCACTAAACTTCCTGTGGCTATTTCTTAAATGTCCTGAACGCAAGTGGAAGCTATGCCGTTAAAGTAAAATTCAGGCTAAGCGTGGTGACTCACACCTGTAATCTCAGCACTTTGGGAGGCCGAGGTAAGCAGATCATGAGGTCAGAAGTTCAAGACCAGCCTGGCCAATATGACAAAACCCCGTCTCTATGAAAAATACAAAAAATAGCTGGGCATGGTGGTGTGTGCCTGTAATCCCAGCTACTCAAGAAGCTGAGGCAGGAGAATTGCTTGAACCAGGACCCGGGAGGTGGAGGTTGCAGTAAGCCGAGATCACACCATTGCACTCCAGCCTGGGCTATAGAGCAAGACTCCATCTCAAAAACAACAACAACAACAAAAAAAAAAAAAAAAAAAAAAAAAAAAAAAAAAAAAAAACTAAAATCCAGTGGAATTACCTCAATGGCAGACCCAAATGATGGAACCTCCATAGAGAGATATCCAAGGGTTTGTCAAGTTCTAGGATTTACTTTTTAAACTACGTAAAACTTTGCTTTCGTGTTTTTAATCAATAATCTCAATTATTCCATGTATGGCTTTTTACTCTGAAAAATTTCAAATGGGTATGATGAACCTAATGGAATCTTAATGCCCACCCTAGAGGTTACCTCGGTAAAAATTAAAATCAAAGTGGATTCTTGAAACACCGTTCACATTTTTCAAAACTTCACAATAAACCTACATACCTATCAGTAGAGAAAGCAGTTCCAAACTAAGGATCAACAGTTTCTACAGTTTCCCACACAGGAAACTATCAGCCACCCTGCAAGCTGACTCACTGGACTCATTAAAACCCAGAGTGCTGGGCCCCACCTCAAGAGCATGATACGTCTGGGGTGAGCCCCAGATTCTACATCTCTAGCAGTTCCCGGGTGCTGATGAGGTGGCCTTGAGATCACATTTAGAGGACCACTGGGCTACACATCACACCAAGGATCCTATCATTCTTAGACTGCAATAAAATGTTTCCAGAGCATGTAATCAGATCTTTTCAAAAACACATGCATGTAATTGATGGGATCTTCAAGAGGCAGTATCATGTCAATTTTGGCTTTGTGTTCTTCCGTAGTCACAACCTGAACATCAATGTCCAGGGTGTGTTTGCGGAGGGTCTTGACTACCACGGCGTGGCCAGCGCTAGCATCCCTACTGCCTCCCGACTCCTCCGTGGAGGAGCTGCGGTCGCCCTGGTGCCTGCTGTCCCCCTCCTTCCCTGGGCTCAACCCTGGATCCCTCAGGCGCCTGTCCCCAGCCCCAATCCCACCCGTGCCCTATTGTTCTCCCAGACAAATGAAACCATGCTGCGCTTCTGATGCCCTCGCTTGCCGTTTAATGGTTCAGCTAATCCCGTGGCGAGACGGGCGCTCGCTCCCTCGGAGGAGCCAGGCACCTGGGCCTTCCTGAACTACAGCCAGCTCTGTCCTTCCCCCCAAGAAACACATGTTCATTTGTGCAATCATGTATAGACCTCAGAACGGAAGATAGGACTGTATATAATTGTAATAAAAACCAATTGCCACTAAAAAAAAAAAAAAAAAAAAAAAACACACAATTCTCCTGTTATTAAATAAAGCTGCAGGTATAAGATGGCCTCGGGAAAAAAAAAAATTCAGATCCTTTTTTTATTTCCAAATTTAAATGAAATATAATTATTGTGGAGAACTTTACATTTTTTTCCTTGAGCTATTATTTTCTTTTCATAGGAGTCTTTTTCTTGATAGGGAAAAAAAACCTTAATTAGCATAAATCCTGGATGGACTTGCACTATAAATAGGCAATTCAGATTGTAGTCTTAATCCCAAAATAAATTTCTGTCAATGGCAAAAAAAAAAAAAAAAAAAAGAACCATTACAATTTGTCCTGCTTGCACATGAAACATACACCTCCATCAGACCAGGAACACCATCCAAATGTCAGTAATAAATAACTGCTATGTTTGTGTCATGTCTATTATGCACCAGGCACTGTACTTATAATAAAACAATAATCCCCATAATTCATGGGAAGATCGATCCATGTAAAGAGTATTCATGTGAAGAGTGTTGACATAGATCCATCTTCCCATGAGTTATATGGATTATTATTTTCTTCTTTAAATAGATGAGCAAACCAAGACACAGAGAGGTTAAGTAACTTTCCCAGAGTCACACAGTTGATAAGTAGAGGATGCAAAATTCAAAATCAAGCAGGCTTGCCTGAGAGCCCAATCTTAGGCATTAAGGTAATTTGCATCACATTAATTCAGCTTTGGGAAGAAATAGATCGTAATTTTAACAACATTAGTACGCTGCCAAAACTTAAAGGATTACAAACCTCATTTTGTTTGTTGAGGGAAGAAGTTGGCCATAGTACTATTTTTGTTATCAGTGGCCATGAATAATTTTACACAGCCTAGAAGTCACCCATGAACAACAGAATATTCATGCATTTCTTTGAACCCAATGCCAAAAAAAAAGAGTCTGCTATGTTATTGTCCTAATTTAAAAAATAAAAAGGGACATCTGATATGTTTTATAAGTTACTTTTTAGCCTACCTATCACCATGGTCAAATCAGTCCTAAAATGTCATTTTCAAGCAGGATTGTCTAGTTCTCAACCTCTTTATGATAAAAAAAAAATGGGGGGGCACAAGACGTTCTCCTTTGCACACTGAATTAGAGAGGAAAAACTTGTTCATGCTCTAAAGAAAAGCGCTCCAAAAGGCCCCACACCAAACCCCAGCCATCTCCACTCTTTGAGTCATCAATTATTCACAGAAATCGTGAGTATGACACTTGCAGAGGCTTCAAATGTAAAGGGCACAATCCAGAGAGATCTCCTCCACTCTCATTTTGGCAGGGGCATGGCAGCGATGCACACAAGGGTTATAACAACCTGCAAGGGTCACTAGGCACTGGGTCACTAGGTGCCTCCATGTCTGGGTCACCTCCTGGAGAGAGATGAGATTTATTTTGTTACAGGCATTATCCCGTTTTTCTAATTGCCTCTATCAGCCAATTTTTTTAAGTTTGAATAGATGTATGAAAACTAGGAAAATGGCAAAAGCCAGTGGAGGCTCCCAAAGTCATTGACCCCAAGTTATCCTGCTCCAAAAGGTAGAAGAAACAGGAGGTAGATACAGGCAGCAGGTGATGCTCCAAGATGCTATTTGCTGAGAGCCTCTTAGAATAAGAGGAAAGGCCGGGGTCCCTATGGAGCCTGGACCCCTACTATCTTCACAGGTGCCAAGAATGATATCAGTTTTTAGGCAAAACAAAGATAATAATATTGTTATAATTATTATAAATTATAATAATTTATAATATAATTATATTATTTCTATAATAATTATATTATCTGCAATATAATTATAGACATATTAATAATAATAAACAGCTTTGTTCCAAATCATAAAGAAATATGCATCCAAAGTCACAACCTTGGAAGTAAGTCCTTTGCACTACCAAGATTTTGACAAGCTAAAACTTCTATCATAATAATTATCTTTGTATTAGCACACATAGAACAAATTTAAGGATCATTTTCTTACTTTCAACTCAGGAATCCTAACACTGAAAAAGTCAGCATTGGCAATAATGGATTCAAAATTAAATGGAAATAAAACCTTTAATTATTCATCCAGCCCTTCAGTGTTTCTCTCCTGCCTCTAAATAATACAAATGATGAGCATGTTTCAACAGGCTGGAAGAATAGAAGGAAACACAGTGTATAAAAACAAGCCAAATATACCCTCTCCTTTCACTATCAAAGAATATTTACTATTTGAATGCATTCTTTCTTGATGTTAGTTTACATTTTACCATAGTCTTGATTCAAGAAAAATTTGTTTTATTATGTTCCCAATAGGACTGCCTCAGATAGTCAGTTGTAGAGGCCAGATGCCAGTGAATTTTTCACTAAAGCTCATTTAGGGAGTTTCTAACTCTATCAGAAAAAGAAAACTTTAGTTCTATTTAAAGTCATTCAAAAATCTAGCAAAGATTTCATTTCTAAATAAATCTGAGTGAGGATTAGATGTATTTGTGAAATAGCATTTTGCTTATGGCCACATCTCTTTGAGAAATTTAAATTTTTGTCTTCCTTTGGTTTCAAATCTTCACAGAAAACTAATTGTTGCCCCTCCCAGAGTCACAAATGCATATTATTCTACAAGGTACAGCAATGGCAACATTTAAGGAGAAGCAAAAAGCAAAAGTTGATGACATACCGTGAGTGATGGTTTTTATCTAGCAGGATTTTCTCTCACTCAAGGATTCCGCTGATCTCTTCGCACAGGAGGAGGAAAGCTTTTATAACTGGAATCTTCTCAGCCCCGCCTTCTTCTCTGAGGTTCTTTTAAGCAGAGGAACAAAAATCTTAAGCCACTGAGGTTGCAAGAAGACTCCTAAAGCCTCTGCTCACAGTGGCAATTTAGCAATGGAATACAAGTGGGGAATGGATAATTAGCCAACATGGTATTTTAAATGCTAATTAAGAAATGATACCAAATTTCCACTCTTAGCTTGACAATAATACCATAGTGTGAAATCATACTGAGATTTAATTTCTGCAATTAGTGGCACATTTTAAAAACCACAAATGAAATGGGAAATGCTTATTATAGAAAGTGATGACAAGATTAATTGATAAATTAAAAGCTCTTAGTTAAGATTAGGAAAAAAATTCTTAAATAGAGAAAATTTAATCAACATTGCTTTTTCTCAGATTTTGTGAACTTTCCTCACACCAACTTAAATGCAGCATTGGGACAGGCAAGCGGGCCTCATGGAGGTGAGCAAATCTAGCTTTATTAATTTACAGCTACTTTCTGTCCCCTTTCAACTATACTTTATAAGAACTCTCCTAGAAGAAATAAGTAATAATTGCCAGTGGGCAACTTTCCATCATTTTACTTAAATCATGTGCCACAAACATAACAGTTATCTCATACTAATATTCCTTTGTGTTGGCCATTATTTCTATTATATTATTTACATATGAAGCATATATCATAGAGAAATAGAAATAGGATAGTGTATTTTAGGAACCGATTACACAAGACATATAAATGCAAAACAGAGATGAAAGAGAAGGAGTGTGAAGGGGTTTTTTTGCAAAGGCAGAGAGAGTTGAACAAGGTCTGAAAGGAAGGACAGGATTGTAGTGATAACTTCTGCACAAGGCATGTTCAATTCAGGAAGAAAACCCTTCGACAAAGAGAGACAAAGGACTTCAGACAGAGGTCTCAAACTCAAATATTCCAAGGTTCAGATGAAAGGAGTAGCTACGTGTAAGGCAGTAGGGAAGGGTGGGGGCTGTGGAAAACAGGAAATGATAGATTCCACATTTGAATGAGGACCCATGTGAGAAGAGATCCAGCCAGAAATGGAGAGAGAGAATCAAAGAAATCCTGGAATTACTCTAAATATGGGTCCTAGGACAAAACACTCCCATCCCCAAGCACATCTATAGCACTGCACAGGGGAGCAGGTTCATCTGAGGAGTGGAGCAGCAAAATTAGCTTTTTATCTGTTAGAAATACTGAGCCAGTCGGGCACAGTGGCTCATGCCTGTAATCTCAGCACTTTGGGAAACTGAGGTGGGTGGATCGCTTGAGGTCAGGGGTTCAAGACCCCTTGCAACATGGCAAAACCCCATCTCTACTAAAAATACAAATATTAGCCAGGCATGGTGGCATGTACCTGTAATCCAGCTACTTGGGAGGCTTAGACATAAGAATTGCTTCAACCTGGGAGGTGGAGGTTGTAGTGAGCTAAGATCATGCCACTGCACTCCAACTCGGGTGATAGAGTAAGATTCTGTCTTCTGTCTTAAGAAAAAAGAGAGAGAGAGAGAGAGAGAGAGAGAGAGAGAGAGAGAGAGAGAAATATTGAGCCAATTAATTAAACTCATGTAGACTTCTCTCATTCATTGTCTGGTTATTAAACAAGTTTTTTTGTTCCATCTCAATTTAATTGCAAATTTGTTTTATCCACAATAGATAATGTATAATCTGGCCTGAACAAGTTGTATTCAAATATCTTCAGCAAGTCCTTAAAATAATCTGTGAATATGTCCTTGCTGTAACAAGTAAGCATCTTCCTGAAACGGGAGCAAGGGAGATGGAGATAGAAAAGTATAAAGTAAAGGTGTAGGTATATAATCTACAGATTTATAGATGCAACAAAATGTCCAATTTATCTAGCAAGGTAGATATAAATGGTTTTGGTTTTTTCTTAAAAAGATTTTTTTTTTTAGATGCTGGATTGTTGTACTATCTTTCAATGCCAGAAGATGGCTTCCCTGAGCAACCTTGGTCACACAGAGATGTTTTCAGCCACCTACTAAGCAGACTTCAAAGGTGAATTAATGGCACTGTCCTTGCTCGTCCCTGCAGACCTTTCTCCCGCACTAAGATGAGAAGAGCCATGCTGCATGCTTCCAACTAAACGTGTAGACTCAGATTCTCAGCTCGGCTACCCTATTTTTTGTGCCCTGAGAAAACATCAAAACTGAGCAAACTAGATGGATGATGATGATGGTTACAGAGCAACGCAAATGCATTGATGCCACTGACGCTGCACTTATAAATGGCTAAGACAGCAAATTTTATGTTATGTGTATTTTATCACAATTAAAAATAATTTTAAAAAATATTCAGTGAAACCGGCTCTGAATTTGAACATGGGCTCTGACACTTGGCTACCTATGGGACCTCCAGCAAACTCCTCACCCCAGCGCCCAGCTCAGTAAAACAGGACCCTAACACCTGTTAGGATTTTATGGGGGGAATCCTGAAAGGACCGGCCACGGTGGATGTACCAACCCAATTAGAATCCTTCCTCCCTCCAATATCGTTAGTCCCTTCCAGTTCAGCATCCATGGGTTTGGGGTTTCGGTTTGCAGAGGATGGCGGTGGGAAACCTTTCTTGCTGCTGCCAGGCCTGCAATGAGAGAAAAGTGCCTGCCTCCTCTGTCCATGGTGAGCTTCCACCATATGTTCCCAATAGTTTTTTCCAGTGTGTGGCTTGTGCCCACCTGTACCAGCCTTTCCAGGAGCACAGGCTGGAGATCAAGCTCCTGGGCCCACCCTAGACCTGTGGAACCAGGATGTCTTGGTAGGGCTGAGGAACATGGCAATTCTCCAGTTCAGCAGAGTTTGAGAACCACACAGGTCTGAAGAGGCAAGTGACATTAGAAGAAATGCTGTCACTCAGCAGGAGCAAGGTAAATACACAGACTGCTGGGTGGTAGCAAATGTGCTGTCCTGGGATAAAAGGAGAACAGGTAGGAACTGGGCAAAGACACAGAGAAGTGGTCATACCCCAGCGGGGGGAACTCTTGGATTTCACTTCCAAGGCTCATTGCCTGGTGCTATCAAGACAAAGAGGTCAAGAAGGAAAAAAATTTTGTAACACAAGCAATTTTGCCCAAAGCTTGGGCTCCTTCCTGCACCATACTGGCTCTGAACTACTGAGAACCCTTGGGTTGCAGGAGAGATTTCTTAGCCACTTGTCCTCAAAGAATCCCTCTAGGAAGCAGTGAATTGCCTGTCCACTTCTGGCAAGTGGGCAACCCCAGAGCTCAGTGGCTCCCATGCCTCCAGCCCACTGCGGGATACACTTGAGCCATAGAAGGGCCCCAGACACCAGCAGGAGAGTAAGACACTCACTGGGCTCCCTTCCATCTTCCCAAGATGCTCACTTGGATTTCAAATTTCATCCTCCCACTCTAAACCCCTGGCTTTGTGCCTGCTGGAGTTCACCTCCTCTCCCAGGCACTTGGACCGGGCCCTCCCCTCCCCTGGAGATGGTGCACAGCAGTGTACAGCAGTTCTGCCCTCTCTGGCTGAGTTTGCTCCACTGGAGCTGGTGGAAGGGACATGGCTCTCTGGTCAGTATGGAAGGCCTTCCACCCTGGGCATTCCATGAAGAGTCTGCCCCTCCAGTGCCCCACACTTACAAGATCCTCTAGGTCTCCCTTACTCCTTGGTTGTTTTAGTCCCTAAACTGCAGTTCCCACCCTTTTCCTGGCTGTCTTCAGAAATGATTTGGCTCTCTGACTACAGAACTCAGTTCACCATCTGTGTTCCAGAAAGTGTTCCACTCTTTCACACACACTGACAGTCAAAAAGGAGCCAGATCCTTGGCTACACTTCTTATGTCAATCAGCACAGCTACCTCACTACCTCACCAACTCAACATTGCTTATGACTTAGGCAACTCATCTGTCAAGGACACACCATTCCACAGAAGCTGTGGCTTCCATCTCGACTTCTCTGAAATATGGTAAGTTTAAGCCTGGACAAACTTCTAGGCAATATAGGTATAAGTTAACACAGAGATCGGTAGTACCCTCTAGCATACAAATTAACAATACAAATAATGCATTTATAGGTCCCAGAAACAACAACCTGATGGGAAGCTCCTAGCATAAGCGTGCTTCCAACATGTATAACCCACACTTGCAGAAAACTATGGAACCCTTCTGAGCCACTCAAGTGATCAATCCTAATATAAACCAAATCTATGCATCTTTACCCACCTTCCACAATCCCCTTCTGCCTTCGACCCACCATTTCACATCCCCAGTGGCTCTGCAGTAGAATAATAAAAAGCAGTAAGTAATGCTTCTCAAACTTTCATGTACATGTGAATCATCTAGGAATCTGGTTGAATGCAGATTCTGGTTCAGCAGATGGAAGGTGAGACCTATGATGCTCCATATCTAACAAGCTCTTCCCGGGTGAGCCGCTGCTGCTGGTCCACAGTATACACTTTGATAGCAAGGACGCATGAAGCACCAGACTCCTGTCAGCACCACGGTCAGCTCCAAGGCCAGCAACAGAGAGAAAGGAAGAAACCAGAAGTGTGGTCCAGAGAAAGTGCCGCCCACCTGAAGATGTTCACCAGGCAAACCCAAGGCTATCTGTGTCTAGGGGGTAAGAGGTCCCTGTACATTTGGCGCTCTTCAGAAGTCTCCCCAGTCCCTGGAACTCTCCTCTGCCTGAAGGAATCAGGTCTAGCCAGCTCCTTCAGACTCTGGTCTGTGTCTCTTCTGGCCTCAAACAAGAACTTCTTTCTCCAGTCCTGAGTTCAAGGTTCAGTAGCCAGATGACCATTGGCCTCAGACTGGATTGCCCTGGGCCCCTTATTTAAGCTTCACATCTTCCCAGAGCCATTGCGGGTGACCTCACCAGACAGCTATGGAGCTCCACACCTCTTTAGAGATTAAGTTTGCACTGAACAATTCAGGAATGTCGAAATGTCAGCACCACCCCCAGGGAAC